AAGAAATTAATAAACAATAGAAATCCTCATCCTCTTCCCACCATCTGGGTAAATGATTATATGGGTTATAAAATGGGAAAAGGGAAAATTTGGTACCCTCATAGGGGACGTCCCAAATATGACTTAAGTTGACAAACGTAATTTACAGGGGATTATATTACTGGTAAGAGAATGGTTGGAATTAATGGAAAAAGATACTATAAAAAGAATTAAGTTTATGAGAAAGAATGCGTAGAAACCCTGTTACTCATTGGTGTCCTAAGTTAGATAAAAACATCTTAAGAAGATATTGGGACAAAAACATATGATGCACAACTTTCCCTCCCCAAAATAAAGATTATAGATGGAATTTAGAATGCACCTGGTTTTGTGAGGGATGGTGCTGTGCACTTTAACACTTTACATTGGGCCGCACAGCTGCTATATTAAGTACATGCATGATAAAGCTGTTCGAATATCCTTTATTCCTTTTCCAAATGAACAATAGGTTCATGCCTATAGAAATATGAGAATCATTAAAGTTTTAGTTGATTATAAGTTTAATTGTTAGATTTATGTTTTAAATATAATTGTTAGAACTTTTAAAATAGTATTTACAAGTTAAAAATATATATAAGGTTTGTTTAGCTAATTTATGCTTGCTGGTAGTAATAAGTTTAAGGTTGATACGAGGGCAAGAGGAAAAGAAACACAATGGTGAAAAACGTCAAGAACAGCGAGTCACGGACTAATTGACCACACAACAGATATAATCACCAGAAAGAATTGGCTGACAACTGAGTTTTATTTAACTTTGTAGATTATTAATTTTATGAGAACTGACGTAATTTTAAGAAAAGTTTCCATTTAACTATTGGTTTAATAATTTTAAAGGTTTATGTAGTTAAAATGCCCACATTAATCCCCCCCTCCCCTGTGTTGTGTAACAAATAAAAATGCTGTTTCCAGTCTGAAGGCTGCTTCAGCTGCTTTAGCTGCTTTGGCTGCTACAGCACTGACAGCCCGCAGGCTGAGAACGTGCTTCAGAGGAACCGAGTTCTCTGCCTGTGTTTTTTACTTTTGCCGCTTCCTCGTCCCTCTTTCAAGGACCCCCAACTCGACTGGAGCTGGTCTCCGGCAATTGGCGCCTAAACGTGGGGCCTGAATTAGGGTAAGCACAAAGGTTGTTGCCTTTGTGGGAGGTTGGCCTTCGTCCTAGGGTGCTGCAGACCCCTCATCAAGAGTGACGGGTTAAGAGTGGGGACGAATAGTCAGAACTTTTGAGCAGTTTAGAGCCTAGCCAGAGGAAGAACAATGGGAAATTCCCCGTCTAAGAATAGGAGCCTGTATATATATTGACATTCTTAAGTACACTTTAAAACAGAATGGGATTAAAGCTAGCAAGCCACAGTTGGCTGAGTTTTTGATGTTTGAACAAGAGGTTAGTCCATGGTTTCCTGATAAAGGAACTTTAGATTTAGAGGTGTGGGAAAGAGTAGGAAAAAACATAAATGATTGGTATAGATGTAATGGAGGAAAATATATGCCAATCTTTGCTTTTCTTTGTGGGGAAGAATTAATCAGGCTCTTTTTACAACTGAGCCTTTAGAGACAGAGCATAAACCACCCTCGTATTCAACTTTTGAATAATTGTCTCTTGAAGAGTCTGTGCCCTTAGTGCCAAAACCAAGCTCACGAGCTGGTTCTAAGTGTAATATTAAAGAAACCACACTCCCCACTGCTCCTCGTATACTGGTAAATTTGGTAGAGCATAACCTTTCCAACTCTGATAATGAGTCACCAGACAATCAACTTAGCGCTTCAGATCAAGAAGATCTTGAAGAGGCTGCTGCTCATTATCATGATGATGATGATTATTCTGTATTGACTGTAAGTCAAAAACTTAAATTAAACAAAGGTCATAAAAAACATGTTACAGTCTTTAAAGGAGCAATGAAGCAGGCTCAAAAGGAGGACGATTTTTCTTATTCTCCTGTGTCTTATGAGGAAGATGAGCCTAGATGGGAGCCATTACCCTACAAGTTATTTAAAGAGTTAAAACATGCAGTTACAAATTATAGCCCTATATTTTCTCAAAAATTTGTAGATTTGGTTTTCCAACAATTTCATAAAAATTTTCCTTCAATTTATTTAATTCATTATATAGATTATATTTTCTTGTTTTACAAGGACAGGGCTTATTTACAGGATGCCATTACTTAATTGATTTTTGATTTACAGTTTTTCTGGCCTTAAGGTGGCTCCAGAGAAAATTCAAGTTTGATCATGTTTTTCTTTCTTAGCTGCACAATGCTTCTTTCCTTTCTTAAAAGCAGTGGTTTTCTTTTTTTAATTACATGTGCTACTCTTTTTCTTTGAAGGCTCTGGAGTTTTGTGAAGAAAAGCAGCCATGGCACCAACCAGACTCCTTTTGAGTCTACTTGCTTTTCTCTTAAAAACCTCGAGAGTCAAATAGTTTCATTTTTAATTGTTGGCTCAGCTCTTGAGCTCAGTAATTCATTTGAAAGATAAAAATATAGACTAAGATTTACTTGTTTAATTAAGTGGTTTCAAATTTTCTCGCATCCATTTGGTATCTTAAATAGACTTCTAATTCTTTTCTAGTTTCATCTGCATATTTCTTCATAAAAATTTATGGTAAAATTCTATGCTATCTTTTGAAGAAAATCATCTTAACATTTTCTTGAAAAAGTTTGCATATTTTGCTTTATAATGTAAACTTGTTATCTTGTTTTCTTTTAGGCAAGGTGAGGCCTCATTAATAACTCTTTTGAAAAAAAAAACACAATCTAAACTTGACTGTCTTTTTTATTAGTGAGCTTTTTTTACACCTTAAACAAAACTTATAAGATCTTTGTTTGTTCTTGTTTATGTCTGCATATATGTGTGTGTAAGCTGTATGTAATGTCTATATGTTCATGTCTGTTTGTGTAATTGTTTTATGTACAAGGTACCTAATTGGCTTATAATTAATGCACGCTCATTAAATAAATAAGTATATTTTTCAAGTTCACGTGAAATTTTTTACAGTTTTGATAAATGTATTTTCAAAATTTGATTCAAACCTTTTACCTAAATTTATTTTTAGGTCAATATGTTTCTTTGTTTTCTCAGCTTTGCCTCCTGGCCATGCTGGGAGAAATAATATCTTTTGGACATAAAAAGTGAATACTGCCCTCTGCCTCTCTGGATTCCACTTGGCTTTAAATGCCATGTGGAAACCTGGGACCTAAAATAGTTAGTAAAAAGAAACCTATGCCAAATATCACATTGGCCTTTGTTAACATTAATTAATTAGAGTATAGATTTAATACACCAAGTTTTTGGCTGGGAAACCATAAATATGTATTTGGTTAATTTAGTTAAAACTAAAACTGGGTTTTGTGTAATGTGCTTTGATAATTGGACTTGTATTTATTAACCTAAACGTATAAAGATGTTCTTTTCAACACACATTGTTGTTTGGGTTTATTAATCAAACAGGACTACTAAAGGTTTTTTTTACTTAACTGTTCTTGATGCAAAGTTGTAATAGGTTTTTTGTTTGTTTATTTCTTTGTTTTGCCCCTCAGATAATTGGTTTAAAAAATTTATTTCATAAGTTCTTGTGCTCTTTGCCTTTAAAACCATTTATTAGTTTGGTTTTATTTTTTGTAGTAATTTGATTTTATTCAATTAAATGTTTTAAGCTTTTTCTTATTTAACACAGCTTTCCAACATTAAATTTTGAAACTTTAAAATAACTTTGGGAGATTCCAAGGGCCCTGGAGTTTCTCAAAGGATATGTAAAAGATGTATCAAAACTAATTGGCTTATTTAATAAATTTGACTATATAGAAAAGCATTGTCAATACTAAAGGTGTTATAGTTCCTAATCTTCCTTTGTTCCATTTGGCTTCCTGAGATCAGGAAAAAATAAAAGTAACAACTAACCATTCTCACTTTTTAGGTGGAGATCCTAATACTTATGAGAAGCCTCATTTTTCACAACCTTTTAATTTTTTAGCTTCTTCTTTTTTTTTTTTTTCCTTTTTGTCTTTTTTCGTGACCAGCAACGGGATCGCAACCCTCAGTGTCGCGCCCTTACCGGACCGGGACGGCAACGGGATCGCAACCCTCAGTGTTGCACCTGCACTGCACTCAGCCAGTGAGCGGCCGGTCTGTATATGGGGTCCGAACCCTCGGCGGGAGCGCCTCCACGCTCCCAAGCGGCGCACTGTAGCAGTGCACCACTGGGCCGGCCCAATAATTTTTTAGCTTCTACTGAGAAAATGCCTTTATGATTTTCTTCTCCCAATGTTCCTCCTATTAAACATTATGTTTCTACAGGTTATAGAACACTGTTGGCTGATTCTCCTAGCATTCCAAATTCCCAATTTGGTAATGGCGAGCTGACCACCTGTTCGCCAAACATTAGTCGAGATGTTTGGACTTTATTTTTTTGGTTTTTTTTTTTAGCAAATTTTAATGATTTTCATTTAAGCATTATGCCATCAATTTCTCTGCTTTCCTTTATTCTGATATGTTTACAGGAAAAAGCTCATACACAGGACGAGTTTCTTCTTGATCTGGTTTCCCTAATTGGTTTAATTGTGGTTTTAAAAATAAAACTGTTGCATTTTATTATGATAATTATACTCAAAAGGTATATGATTGGTCTATTTCTAGCCCTGGTTATGATTATAAAAATTATTTAAATAATAATACTGCAAAATTTAATTAGAACTATAATATTTTGCCCAAGCCAGATCCTATTCATTATTGGTATACTCCTGGATGGGCTACACCTGTTTGGATAAATAATAACACCGGAGCAACTCCACAAACACAATTACCATTTATTTGTTGCTTTAAATATAACTAAATTTCATAGGCCACAAAATAATAGAACTTATTATATACAAGCATGTGTACATGCTCCTTATGCTATTTTGGTTTATAATAATTCAAACCAATTAAATGTAACTTATTCAGAAGCTATAACCCATGTTGATTGTGTTAATTGTCCCATTACTAATTGTTTAGATCCCTTTTTCCTTCGACAACATTATTTTTTGTTAAGACGACCTCCTTATGTTTTACTTCCTGTTAATATTTCACAATCCTGGTATGCTGATCCAGGGTTTGCCGCTTTACAAAAGTTGGACTATGCTTTGTCACATCCTAAACGTTTCATTGCAGCTTAAATTTTAGGTATTTCTGCTTTAATCGCTATTATAGGATCTGTTGCCACTTCAACTGCTGCTTTGGTGCAACAAGTTCATACTGCTGAACATGTTAATGATTTATCTTTAAATGTTTCTACGGCTCTTTTTCAACAACAAAAAATAGACAGACAATTAGTTGATAGAATTAATGTATTAAAAGAAGCCGTTTTGGGCCGGCCCGGTGGCGCACTGCTACAGTGCGCCGCTTGGGATCCGGCGAGGGTTCGGATCCCACATACAGACCGGTTCCTGCTCACTGGTTGAGCAAGGTGTGGGAGCAACACCGAGGGTTGCGATCCCATTGCTGGTCACGGTCCGGTACGGGCGTGACACTGAGGGTTCCGATCCATTGCCGGACATGAAAAAAGACAAAAAGGAAATAAATAAAATAAAATAAATACAATAAAAGAAGCCATTTTCTTTTTGGGACAAGAAATACAACATATTAAAGTTCAACTTGCAACTGCTTGTCATCATAGTTATGAATGGATTTGTGTGACTCCCCTTCCTTATAATGATTCTCTTGGCAACAAATCCAGATGCATATAAAAGGAATTTGGAATCATTTTACTTTAGGAGTTGATTTAACAAGTTTACACCAAAAAATATCCGACCTTTCTCATGCTCATCTTCAATCTATTGTCCCCGAAGACGTGGCTAACGGTATATTCCAGTCCCTTCACTCTGCTTTTAAGAGCACTTCCTTGTGGTCTTTGATACATTCAGTTGGCATGTTTATAGCTATAATAATAATTATTATTGTTTGTTTTCCAGTCCTCATCAGATATCTCGGATATGCAATAAGAGTGACTCAACAAGAGCTGCTCACGCTAAAGCTTCAAAACAAAAAAGGGGGAGATGGCGCGGTCCACGCCATGGCAGGGTCTTGAAAGGAATAGCTTGGGCTGCCCTTTCTGAGTTGGCAAGGCACCGGAGGGAGAGCTGCTGGCAGGACCACGGCTACCAGCACTTGCTTTCATTGTAAAGATCTCTGTTTTCACTTTCTCTTTTGATGTTTTGGTCAGCGTGGCAGTTTCCTGAGTTTCCAAAAGGTGCAAAAAATGACACTTTTGGTCAGCATGGCAGTTTACTGAGTTTCCAAAAGATGCAAAAAATGACACACAAAGAGTTGTTGTTGTAAAATTAGATTATCCCACAAAAGATCCAGGAAGATTGAACAATTCCAAATTGTCCCTTTTGAGTCAATTTATTACACCAATGGGTGTTTTAAAAACACCTTATGAATAGCCATGAGCAATTGTTTTTACCGAAGAAATTAATAAACAATAGAAATCCCCATCCTCTTCCCACCATCTGGGTAAATGGTTATACGGATTATAAAATGGGGTAAGGAAAAATTTGGTACCCTCCTAGGGGATGTCCTAAATATGACTTAAGTTGGCAAACGTCACTTACAGGGGATTACATTAATGGTAAGAGAATGGTTGGAATTAATGGAAAAAGATACTATAAAAAGAATTAAGTTTATGAGAAAGAATGCGTAGAAACCCTGTTACTCATTGGTGTCCTAAGTTAGATAAAAACATCTTAAGAAGATATTGGGACAAAAACATATGATGCACAACTTTCCCTCCCCAAAATAAAGATTATAGATGGAATTTAGAATGCACCTGGTTTTGTGAGGGATGGTGCTGTGCACTTTAACACTTTACATTGGGCCGCACAGCTGCTATATTAAGTACATGCATGATAAAGCTGTTCGAATATCCTTTATTCCTTTTCCAAATGAACAATAGGTTCATGCCTATAGAAATATGAGAATCATTAAAGTTTTAGTTGATTATAAGTTTAATTGTTAGATTTATGTTTTAAATATAATTGTTAGAACTTTTAAAATAGTATTTAAAAGTTAAAAATATATATAAGGTTTGTTTAGCTAATTTATGCTTGCTGGTAGTAATAAGTTTAAGGTTGATACGAGGGCAAGAGGAAAAGAAACACAATGGTGAAAAACGTCAAGAACAGCGAGTCACGGACTAATTGACCACACAACAGATATAATCACCAGAAAGAATTGGCTGACAACTGAGTTTTATTTAACTTTGTAGATTATTAATTTTATGAGAACTGACGTAATTTTAAGAAAAGTTTCCATTTAACTATTGGTTTAATAATTTTAAAGGTTTATGTAGTTAAAATGCCCACATTAATCCCCCCCCCTCCCCTGTGTTGTGTAACAAATAAAAATGCTGTTTCCAGTCTGAAGGCTGCTTCAGCTGCTTTAGCTGCTTTGGCTGCTACAGCACTGATAGCCCGCAGGCTGAGAACGTGCTTCAGAGGAACCGAGGTCTCTGCTTGTGTTTTTTACTTTTGCCGCTTCCTCATCCCTCTTTCAAGGACCCCCAACTCGACTGGAGTTGGTCTCCAGCAGCTGGGAGCCATCAACAACTAAGTAAGGAGTATGTCAAAAACATTACCTGCATATGGGTGGCCCATCACAACCACCACAATAACCACAGCTGCTGCGAGAGCAGCTAGATGCCACAACCACTGTACAGATGGTCCACCAGCTACTGGAGTGCATTGACACAAGGAGAGTTACCAGTAGAGACCAAAGAAAAGAGGAGGATGTCTCTTTCCACAAAACCCATTCCAGAGAGACAGAAGAAGCATCTGCTATACGATAATATTGGGGGACCTGATCATGCCTCTCAGCGTTTGACAGATCATCGAAGCAACAAACAGAGTAACCATTACTCTTTCAGAAGGAGAGAAGAAATCTAGGGTTATCAGAGGTGGGCGGGAAGAGGGAGAGGGGAATGGAGAGAGATTGGGCAAGGGGCATAAAGCATAAGTACGATTTGCAACAATATGTATGCAAGTAATATTGATTTGATCCACATATGTCAATGTTGAACTTCAAAAATATATATAATCAATTATGATTCAATAGAAATAAATAAATAAAGCTGAATTGGGCTGGCATCTAATTTTTTTCCTTCATTTTATATCAAAACTTTGATAAATTACATCTCCTTTATTTCTCTATTTAGTCTTTTCTAATGTGGAAACCATAACATGTAGGGATAAGTACATAAAACATACATGTACAATAAAGTTAATAAGCATAAAGTGAACACGTGCATAATCACTGTACAGATCCAGAAATAAAACATTACCAACACCCAAAAGCCCAAATCATACTTTCCCATACCTTCACTAGAGCTCACCAGTATTTTGGTTTTCAGGGCACTTCTTCCTGTCTTGCTTTTAAAAAATGATTCTAAGAACATGTGTTCATTCTAAAAAGCAGCTTAATATGGTCTTCTTTTAAATTTTAAATAAAAGGAATTATATTGTATGTATCCTTGGGTGTCTTGCTTCTTTTGCTCAACAAGAAGTTTATAAGATTGCTATACTTGTCACATGTGTCTGTAATTTATTTTTTTTTACTTCTTTACAGTATGCCATTGTCTGACGATACCCCAATTTATTTCTCTATTCATTACTTATGAACATTGGTATTATTTCCAGTTTTTATCTTTAATGAATAAGGCTGTCTTATATTTGTATCTTGGTACACATGTACAAAATATCTGCTTGTGTAATATACTCAGAAGTGGCATTTCTGAATCAGAGAGTGTGCGTGTCTTCGGCCTTTTTATGCAATATTAGAGTTCAAACTTTTGCTGCAATTTATATGCTTATTAGTAGTAATTAAGAATTCTACACATCCTACAAAAATTCGGTAACATAAGACTTTTTAACTTTTCCTCATCTACGTACTATATAGTTGTATGTTATTTATCTCTCTGTAAATAAGTTGGAGGGCCTTTTCACATATTTATTTGCCATTTGTATTTCCTATTTTGTGAAGTCTCTCTCTCTTTTTTTTTTTTTTTGTCTTTTTAGTCTTTTTCCATGTCCAGCAACGGATCGCAACCCTCAGTGTTGCCCCCGTACCGGACCGGGGACCGGCAACGGGATTGCAACCCTTGGTGCTGCTCCCGCGCCTCGCTCAGCCAGTGAGCGGGAACCGGTCCGTACATGGGATCCGAACCCTCGGGCGGGAGCGCCGCCGCGCTTCCCAAGTGGCGCACTATCCAGTGCGCCACCGGGCCGGCCCCTCTCTTTCTTTTTTAACCAGGTTTTCTTTTATTTCTTATTGACCTTTAGGACAATGTGTCCATGCTCCTGTTAGGCATTTCTGTCTTTAAAAACTGTAGCCATTTTTTTTCCATAATGTCTTACTTGATCTCTGGCTCAGTGACTCAGCACTGTTAGGGGTTGAACCTCAGTCTGCTAAACTCTGAGGATACCTGGACATCTCTCCCTCTCTGTCTCTCTGTCTCGGTGTATCTCACTCTGTCCTCTTCTCTCCCTCTCTCTAACAGCCTCTGTTCTTCCCTCCCTTTCCTTCCTTTCTCCCTCTCCTTCATTTGCTTTCCAGTCTTCTGTTGGCTCCTAAACAAAGCATTTGATCTTTATCTTTCTTTTAGAAGAATTCTTTACTGTCGTTCATGGGAGGACAGTTTTCCTAGCCTGGATCAACTAAATCCATAGGTCACCTTTTAAGGGATTAAAAAGTGGAGAACACTAAGAGACAGATATCAGACAGGAAGTTTCCTTTTTGTCTTTTTTCGTGACCAGTAACAGGATCACAACCCTCGGTGTCGCGCCCATACTGCGACCGGCAACGGGATCGCAACCCTCGGTGTCGCGCCCGCACCGCGCTCAACCAGTGAGCTGACTGGTCTCTCTATGGGATCCGAACCCTCGGCGGGACTCTACCCAGCGCACCACCAGGCCGGCCCCAGACAGGAAGTTTCAATCATGTTGTTTTTACTTTCTACTCAAGATAACATCAAGTAACAATGCGATGAACTCCCAGTGCTCTGCCAAGGAAGTCTCTGCCCTGAAAATGTTTTAAAACACCCAAACTGTGACTGAATCACACACCACATTATAGGAAAAGCAGAAAGAAAGAGATTTGCTCACTGTCAAGACCCATGAGCAGGACCAGGTCACTGCTTCTCTCTCTTAGGGAGTGGGTTGTTTCGATTTTTTTTTTTGTACCTCTGAAGACGGAGAGTGATGACCTCCAAATCACACCTTGTCCTTTCTACAACTGGGAGCACTGGATATACTCTTTATTAATCAGCAAGCAATCAGATTCTACCACCACGTAGAAAAGTTCGGACTGTCTCAGGCTTTATACCCTTTCCATGGAAATCACACAGAGTATGAGAACTGACCAGAGCCATTTTATTACATCCATGTCTACTATCAGTTGAAGGAACATTTGCATATAGCAGGTGATCAAAATCTTGGGCTGTTGAACAGCGCATATCATCCACCGGTTCCTAGGTATAGTCCTCAATCCATCTCCCCATGGGTGTAAACCTTTGAAAAGAGAGCCTTACAGGTCTCACAGGTCTTTGCTACTTTCCCTTTTGTTATGTCACCTTCTTGAGGCAACGAACACAAAACTTATCATTTGCTTGAAGAGCAAGAAGAAAGCTAAAGAGGAAAATAAGGAAAAGGGGAGGGGAGAGAAAAACCAATGAAAGCTAAAATATCAGTCCAGTTCCTGACAGGACACAGATGACCCACTCAAAGAGTGATTGAAGTGCATTTAACAGAGGGACTATTTACAAGGGCAAAGCCAGGATAAAGGGGACTAACAAGGGATGACAAAGCACCTGGACAGTGGCATAGCAGTGACCAGGTAGGCATATCACACCCCAATAGCCAAAAAACAGGCAAGGAAAGAGTAGGTGCCAGGATGTGACAAAGACCAGAGATGCTGGAGGGAGCTGCATGAAAGGAGCTGTGACCCGAGGTAGAGGAACAAGCTGCTGAGAAACTGGCCCAGCGGGTGGAAAGTGGAGGAGCACGTGCCTCCCTCCGGTCTCCTGCTGATGCTTCCGTTGGATGAACTCTACCAGAACCTGGGGACAAGGGAGCTCTTCAGTGTCAGATAAAAATACACAGCTTAACAGAGTCCACGTGAATTCTGTAATGTGACATAGTTTGAGCCTTTGATAGAATGAGGTGAATAGGGGACATAAAATGTTTCTTGAGAAAGTTCTTAAAATACATATATACACATAACTTTTATATAACATCACCTTCACTCTAGAGCCTTACACAATATGTTATAATTTTAATATTATAAATATATTACATGGATTACATTTAGCAGAGTAGATAACCGATGGCAAGTAGAATCAGGTCATTTTTATTCATTCATTTATTCATTCTTTTAACAAACATTTTGAACAGCTGAAATATGCCACAGAATCCCTCTGCAAGACAATATCAAGTCCAATATAATCTGACATAAAAAACTAGTGAGGTCTCCAGATTACATTTAGATTAACTTTACGCTGGAGTTTTTTGATAAAGGAATCTCAAAACATTTATGGTGTGTGCATTTTTTGACTCTGGTTCTGAAACATTTTTTCTTTACTGACTTGGGTATCATCTGCTCTCCTCATGATATTTTCCCCAGAAACATTTTATCCTTATTTCTAGCATTACTTTACTTTAGAGCCTCATTTCATTTCTAACATGGAACTGTAATATCAGAAAAGCATTTCTGACAACTTTTTTGATTAATCAATCCTTCAAAACATTTAATAACTAGTCAGTCTCCCAGCCACCGTACAAGGGCAAAGGAAATGAATCATAAGTCTCTTCGCTAGTGATGGATAACCGCCCCCCACCCCCCGCCCTTCCTCTCCAGAAGTACTTCCTTGAGTGTCAGTTCTGTACAAAAATGGATTCTTTTATGCCTTGGGTAGATTGGCATAAGGCTGCTTTGTATGATCAGATAAAAGAAGATTTATTTGAAGATTTATCAAATAAATCTTCTTTTATCTGATCATACAAAGGATGATCACAGATACTGCAGTGATGCACAGATACTTGGGAAAGTCCTCAGCCCCCTTACCTACAGGCTGTCTGTTTAATGAGAGCTCTTTTTACAAATCTACAGGCAAGAATCCCAAAATCCAAAACTCCAACATGCCTAGAGAGTGTATCAGGCATTTCTTTCCAAAACGGAAGTGCTTTGTCTTTGACCGGCCTGTAAGGGACAAAAACCAGTTAATTCATATAGGAGAAGTGCCAGAAAACCAACTGGAGACGAAGTTCCAAGTGCAATCAGAAAATTTTTGTTCCTATATCTTCACCCATGCAAAGACCAAGACCCTGAGAGAAGGAATCATTGTCATCGTATAACTTCGTATAATGTATGCTATACGAAGTTATTACGAATCAGAAAATTTTTGTTCCTATATCTTCACCCATGCAAAGACCAAGACCCTGAGAGAAGGAATCATTGTCATCGTATAACTTCGTATAATGTATGCTATACGAAGTTATTACGAATCAGAAAATTTTTGTTCCTATATCTTCACCCATGCAAAGACCAAGACCCTGAGAGAAGGAATCATTGTCACTGGAAATCGTGAGTCACCTTTGCCCCAAAGCATGTCTCTCCTTGGTTCAGTGTGTGTGATGAAGCTATGACTATTCTATGGGTTTGTCAGTAATTTTGTTTGCTTCTGTATAGAAATGTGGAGCAGCAAATTTTTATGCCACAATTGAAATTTATGTAAACAGTACTTGACACTAATGATATAAGCACAAAGTGCTGTTAAGGAGAGAAATCTGTTTGATTAGAAGATCTATAGTATAAGTATTTCCCAGTGTAGATGTATGAGATATTTTTAAAATTTACACCAGTCAGAAAATAAAAGCAGGCCTTAAGTCCCAAGCAAGTTCATTGAGTGTGTGAGAAACAAATTTAAATATAATCTATGTACAGGGCCAGCTTGACAAACATGCAGCCAGTGCAGTCATGCAGTCCACATGTTGAAATGGGCCCATGCTTGGTTCGGTGTTCTATGCTGCCGTCTTCAAATTCCTGATGATATTTTTTACATGAGGACTTGCATTTTCATTTGGAGCTACAACTTGTGAATTATATAATTTACTTTCTTTGTCTCATAAACTCTTTTTTACTTTATTTAAATGGGAAAGTATTGTTTCAGAAAACCCTAAAACATATTAATTGAAATCACTAATTTAATTTGGTAATGTGGTGAATCTGAGATCCATAAAAGAAAGAGTGTGTAGAAGAAACAGAGATGTTATTATAAAGAGAAAGATGAAAAAGGAAGAGGAAGAAGAAAACAAGGAGGAAAAGAAAACAAAGATAAATAAGATTTTTGTAATTTTTAGATTTCTGATCCTTAAAGCTTGTAAAAAAGAAAGAACTTTCTATTTATTCCCTAAATATATGCCTTCAGGGCTGGGGACTCTAGTGGTGACCTACGTGGATGCCATCAACAGTAGAGCAGTGCCTTGTTTGGAGAACGCAGTGACAACTCTGGCCCAGCGTGAGAACGCAGTGGCCGTGCAGAAGGCAGCCGACCACTACAGCGAGCAGATGGCCCAGCGCATGTGTCTCCCCACAGACACGCTGCAGGAGCTGCTGGACGTGCACGCGGCCTGTGAGAGGGAGGCCCTCGCAGTCTTCATGGAGCGCTCCTTCAAGGATAATACAGGGGAGTTCCAGAAAAAGCTTGTGGTACTTTTAGCATTTATCCTTCCTGAGTTCTGCCCTTCTAAATGATGCCTCAAGTCTACCTTTCTGACCCATGGTTCATCTCCTTAGCATTGTAGAGAAACCTGCATTTTGGGGAATGAAAGCATTCTATGGGCTTAAGTTCACTCCTGTTCAAAAAGATGAGCACATTTTTTGCCGCAAAGCAAATTACAGTGAGGTTAGCAGCTTAAAGAAACACACATTATTAGCTCACGTGTCAGAAGACCATGTTGAGGTGCTTGGTTGCTCTACTCAGTGTATTCCAGCTGAAAACAAGGTGTCAGATGGGCTAAGTTCTCAACTAGAGGCTCAGAGGAAACCCCTTCGTCTTTAAGCCAGCAGCGATGCATCAGATCCTTCTTCTGTTTCTAATCTCTCTGACTTCTTCTTTTCTTAGCATTTGGAGACAACTGCTTTAAAGAGCTCATGTGATTAGGCCATGCCCAACAGGGTGCTCCCCATTTCTTAAAGTCAACCTGGGCTATGGAACATAATCTAATCACAGGATTAATGTCCATCGTATTCACAGGCCCAGGGACTGGGAAGGGTATGGACTCCAGGGGAGAAAAAGCTTATTGGACACCTTACTTCTGCTTGCCATAGGCACTTTGAGTTTGTCTGGGACTGACCTAAAAGCGATAAAAATCTCTTAATTTATACTGAGGAAATCCAGCTGGATTGTAATTAACAAGTACTACAAAAAAACATCTGTTTCTATATCCTCACACATTCAAACCCTCACTGAAAGAATTCATGAAGGGTTCAAAACTGTTCAGAATGCACTTAGCTCATTCTGGGGAGGTGATTTGCCATGTATACATTTTCATCCAGAGCAACCCAAGTTCTCTGAGCAAATTTTCCTTCCAGCCAGGACTGAACTTTCTATTGCTCATTGTTGGCATTTGGGTTCCTGTTAATCATGCTATAGCTGAAAGAGCCATAGAGTTCATGTCTTTCAACACCATAATTTACAGATATTGAACCTGATCACAAGAGCATTAAGGGACTTTCCAGAGGTCATACAGAGAATTGATCAGAACAGGGAATAAAACAAGTCTCCTGACTCCTAGTCTATACCTCATCACAGTCTACTCTGAGGCCATCAGACTAATTCTTCAAGAGGATCACAGTTGGATCTTCCTTTCTAAAGGCTTCTTTCCGTTGTATTACCCTACATTTTCCTGGCAGGACACCATAGAGAAAAAGAAGGAAGATTTCTCACTGCAGAATGAAGAGGCATCTGTCAAATATTGCCAGGCTGAGCTTAAGCAGCTATCAGAGCCCCTGATGGAAAGTATTTCAAAAGGAAATTTCTCTGTTCCTCGAGGCCACAATCTCTACTTAGAAGCAAAGAAAAATATTGAAAGGGGCTATAAGCTAGTGCCCAGAAAAGGAGTTAAGGTGAGGAATAAAGAGGGGTGGGAAGGGGGGCCACAGAGTGTAGTCAGATGGTCTTTGTTTCTCCTTCTAAAAATCTAAGACCACAGCATCATTAGCGAAGAGAGATCAGAGCATGGTGATATCTCAACATTTTTAGTTTTTATATCCATAATTAATTATATAGTATTAAGTAAGCCATAAATATTTTTTTTTCCAAAGAAAGAATTTAGAAAAAGTTCAGTTGAAAGAGAATATTTCTTTCATTTTTTCAAACAGATTTATATTTTTTGTGCTGAGTATGTGGGATATGTTATCAAAGAAACAACTTTTGTTCTCAAGAAGCTTATCATCTCACCTGAGATGGATGAATTAAGAGTTGAATGGATATGATGAGATTACAGTTACCATACTAGAAATAATGATGACGGTGAGCATAGTGGCTAACACACACTGAACATTCACTTCTATAACTGGTATAGTTTCAGGCAGTTTTGCTGGATTATCAATTTAATTCTCAGAATAATGTAAATTAGGTACTAAGATCGTCCACCTTCTGCAGTTGAGAAATGTGATGCATGGAGAAACTAATAAGTTGCATAAGATCATACCGCCAGCAAGTGGTAGAGCTGACAGAGCTGCTCTGTGCATTGGAAGCTCAGAATTCTTTTCTTTTGAGGAATCTGCATGCCGTTTTCCATAATGGCTGTTCCAATTTAAATTCCTACCAACAGTGTATAAGGATTCCTTAACTCCACATCCTTACCTCACTTGCTATCTTTTGACTTTTTGATAATAGCCATTCTAACAGGTGTGAGGTGATATCTCATTATGATTTTGATTTGCATTTCCCTGATGATTAATGATGGTGAGCAATTTCTTGTACACCTGTTGGCCATTTGAATGTCTTCTTTTGAGAAATGTCTATTCAGGTCCTTTGCCCATTTTTAAATCAGGTTATTTGTTTCTTTGCTACCGAGTTGTATGAGTTTCTTACATATTTCAAATATTAATCCCTTATCAGATATATGAGTTGCAAATATTTCCTTACATTCTGTGTGTTGACTTTCATTTGGTTGATCATTTCCTTTGCTGTGCTGAAGTGTTTTAGTTTGATGTTTATTTGTTTAGTTTACTTGTTTATTTTTGCTTTTGCTGCCTGTGCTTTTGGAGTCACAACCAAAAAATCATTGTCAAGACCAACGTCAAACTACTTTCCCCGTATGTTTTCTCCTAGTTTTACAGCTGCAGGTCTTATGTTTAAATCTTTAATTCATTTTTAGTTGATTTTTGAGTATGGTGTGAAATAAGGGTCCAAATTCGTTCTTTTGAATATCCAGTCTTCCTAGCATTATTTACTGAAGAGACTATTCTTTCTCCATTGTGTATTCTTGGTGCTTTTGTTGAAAATTAGTTGACCATATATACATGGGTTTATTTCTGGGCTCTATATTCTGTTCCATTGGTCTATGTGTCTGTCTTTATGCTAGTACCATGCTATTCGATTACTATAACTTTGTAGTAGATATTGAAATCAGGTAGTGTGATGCCTCCAGGCTTATTTTGGTTGCCCAAGATTGCTTTGGCTATTTGGGGTCTTTTATGATTCCATATGAATTTTAGGATTGTTTTTATTACTTTTGTGAAAACTGTGATTGGAATTCTGATAGGAATTGTATTAAATCTGTAGATCACTTGGGGCAGTATGGACATTTTAACAATATTAGTTCTTCCAATCAATAAACACAAGATAGCTCTCCATTTATTTTCTGTCTTCTTCAACTTCTTTCGTAAAGGTTTTAATTTTTCAGTGCAGAGATCTTTCACCTTCTTGGTTAAATTTATTGCTAAGTATTTTATTCTCTTTAGTGCTATTACAAATGTGATATTTTTTAAAAAATATTCTGTTTTGGATAGTTGTTCTTAGCGTGTAGAAATGCAACCGATTTTTTAATGTTGATTTTGTATCCTGCAATCTTACTGAATTTGTTTATTGTTTTAACTGCTTTGGGTGGACTTCTGGGTGTATAGCCAAAGGAAACAAAACAAAATCATTATCTTGAAGAGATAACTGTAGTCCCACGTTCATCTCAGTATTATTCACAACAGCCAAGATATGGAAACAACCTAAGGGTCCATGAACAGATAAATGGATAAAGAAAATGTGATATAATGGAATATTATTCAGCCTTAAGGAAAGGAGATCTTACCATTTGTGACAACATGGATGAAGCTGGGGGACATTATGTTAAGTGAAATAAGCCAGACACAGAAAGATAAATACTGCATGACTCAATTTTATGTGGAAACAAACAAACAAAAAAGTCAAACTCATATTAACAAGAATAGAATGGTGGTTACCAGGGGCTGATGGGTGGGGGGAAAAAAGAAGGTATTGGTCAAAAGGTATAAATATTCAGTTATAAGATGAATACATTCTGGATACCTAATGTACAGTATAGTGGCTATATTTAAGATAATGTATTATATACTTAAAACTTGCCAGTTGAGTCGATCTCAAGTGATCTCACCCACCCCCAAAAGGTAACAACTATATATGTGGTGATGGATATGTTAATTAGCTTGATTGTAGTAATCATTTCACAAAATGCACTTATATCAAAACCTCGCGTTGTACACTTTAAATATATACAATTTTTATTTATCATTATACCTCAATAAATCTAGGGAGAAAAACTCAAGGCAGCCTAGGAAAGCTTTCAGGGAGGTGGTAGCTACTAGTTGAAGTTTCAACAGATCCTAATTAAGCAAGGATCGGCAAGCATCAGGAAGAAGAAAAAGAATGTGCAGATAGAATGGAGGATGTGTTTGTACAATCGCACATAAATCTGGCTGCTGCAACCTGGGGAAGGGAGTGGGCAGCATCACTGGGAGAGGAGGCTGCTATACAGGGTTTTCATATCTTGCCAAACAGCTTGGGCATTTTGTGGTGGCCACAGAAGGAAAAGAACTACTGTGGGATCCTGAGCAGGATACAAAACTTACATGGTCATTTTTGTGGTTTTATTGAAAAATAATTTCCTCAACAGAGGACTAGATATTTACTGCCTGACATGTCTTTGCTCCTTTTTAGTTCCGCAGGCAAATGAAGTCCTCCAGAACTTCCTGCAGTCTCAGGTAGCTACAGAGACATCCATCCTGCAATCAGACAAAGCCCTCACTGATGGAGAGAAGGCCACAGCAGGTACAGGAGCAGGAGGGCTCAGCTCTCAGAGGGGAGGTGTGTCCCTGCAGTGCTCTCTTATTGATCAGACAGGAAGCTTTTCCTGAAACAAGAGCTTCTCCTATTATGAAGCACATGCTCTGCTAAATCTGAAAATAACCAGGGGAGTGGGGTTGCACCTCCAGCAAATCAGTGCCTTTCCATCACATTCTGAAATTCCTTTTGCTGGTGTAGGTGGTGGGAAAATTCAGAGATTCCCTATCCCCCTACCTCCCAGCATTTTTAAAACTCGGTTTGTTCTGAGCTCAGGAGGGCAGGACTCAGGCCTGACTTGTTTTCCTCCCTCTCTAAAACCTTTGTGGAACAGCCGAGTGGGCCAAGAAGGAGGCAGCTGAGAAGGAGCAGGAGCTGCTTAGACAGAAACAGAAAGAGCAGCAGCAAATGATGGAGGCTCAAGAGAGAAGCTTCCAGGAGAACATGGCCCAACTGGAGGAGAAGATGGAGCGGGAAAGGGAAAACCTTCTGAGAGAGCAGGAAAGGATGCTGGAGCACAAGCTGAAGGTGAGTCTGGACGGGGCTGGGTGGTGCCTGATGGACAGTGTCTGATGGACAGTGTCCTGGTTCCTCAGGAAGAAAAGCACCAAAATTTTAAGCACAGTCATTTTTCTAGAGGGAAACCTAAAAGGATGTTTCACTAAAATCTCCAATACATCTGGATCCTACTGAGGCCTATAAATCTATAAGATACCAGCCCCTCTGTAGTATTAGGCTTTGGAGGGTACAAATGACATCTCCCAGGATGCTGGGCTGCTATTTGCTGTGATTATAGGATAGTATCATTGTGTACCACTAAATAGAACCTTAGTTTACTAGTCAAATAGGACATTAGGGTTCTGGGCACAACCATCAGAAAGACCTGAAGTAGATCCGTCTGTTCTAAAAATATCATATTTGGCCTGATATGAAATGGGGGATGGTGAAAGCTCTGAATCTGATCCATTTGTTTTTATATATGTCTGATTCATCCTATACAACTAGAGTAAAATAAATTCTTTGTCCCAACCCGGAGCTTTATAACCAGTGTTCTATGCAGGCTCAGCTGTTCCCTTCATTTGTTAGAGAAGCATGGCCATGCTACCCCTGTGGAATGAAGAATTAATTAGAATCCAACCTGCATTCCCTCCTAAAGGGCATTCTTTGTGCTGTAACAAAACTCGTCCTCACCCCAAGTGAGAGAGTGCAGAGGGAACCTCACAAAGCGATAAACCTTGGATACTGCCATTATTCAAGTGCAAGCATAAGAAATATTGGACAAACTCATCAAAGAGTGCTCTTAGGTGGTAAAGAAATGGACACACATGCTTAACTGCCCAAGTTGTTAAATACAAAACTCTGGTTCTTAATAGTCTAGGGTTTTCAAAAGTGGACTCTCCCCCTTTTATAGGTCCAAGAAGAACTGCTTACTGAAGGATTTAAAAAGAAATCCGAGGAGTTAAATAAAGAGATAAACCAACTAAAACAAAAGATTGAATCAACTAAAGAACCCTGTGTGGTTTCAAATGTCCTCGATATGGTTGGTAACCTTATCACTACAGTACTGCCTGCGGCTGCTAAGCTAGTGTGTAAAGGTCTGAAATGTCTCAGCTCACATGTTAAATAGGCTGAGAATTCCTGGTAAGGAAATTGCAAAATAAGGAGTTGTTTGTTTTAATGGTTTAACACTGTGACTCATGTTTAAAGTATATGTGTCATTGAAGTTTCACAAAAAACGATTACATTGTGTAATGTTGAATATACTGCTTATTCTGATTTGAGCATCACATATTGCACACAGCTATTGATATTCAGTACCGTACCCCACATATTTGTACAATTCATTGTGTTTCAATTAATTTTTAAAAAAGGAAAAAGTAAAAGAAAAAAGAAATAATAGACTTCCATGTTTAAAAACACGTAAAAAAAAAACAGTTAAGGAGGGCTTGTGCGAAAGCTTGTACCTATAAGAGTTCAATAAATAAATGCTGGCCAATTATGATAAAAATAAATAAAAATAAAAAGTAAAATAAATATCAATTATCAAAGAATATCAGGGCCTGACATCCAAACACCAACTTAATTTTGATGGAATTAATTAAAGAAATGGGAAACAAGTTAATTGATAAAGAAATTATTCATAGAAAAGATTTAAGTAAAACAAAAAGACAAATGGCAAGATGAAGAAAACATTTTCAATTCATATTACAGTTGTGGAGATAATTTGTTAAAATGAGCTTGTTAATCAATGAGAAGAGAGCACCAACCACATTTTTTAAATAGGCAGAAATATGAGAATCAAAATGTTTAACTTTACTGATAATAAATGTTATGCAAACTAAACTGATGAGGTTCTTGTTTCACTTCAGTGACGGGCAAAGAAGAACAGCTTTGACAGACACTTGAGCTGGCAAGGGTTTGGGTATGACAAAACTTTGGGTATGACAGTATCTCTTATTTGCTAGCGAGAGTGTGAACTGTTGCAGTTATCTATCAAAAATCAAATGCACACACTTTTGACATAGCAATTCCACATTTAAGAATTTATCTGATAGATTCGTTTACCTAAGTTTAAAATGGTATGTGAGATAGTATATTTGTGGTAGGATTATTGTAAAGTCAGAAGACTGAAATCAATTTTAAAGTCCCTCTGTCAGGTACTGATAAGGCAAATCTTGGGACATATTTACAGAAGAATACTCTACAGTCACTAAAATGAAATGGGAAGTTCTGTTTGTACTAATATGAGAAAGTCTTAAAGATGTATCACAAGTGGGAAAAAAAGATGCAGAAAGTATGTACAGTTATTAGCACTGAATTTAAAAAGTAATGAATATATGCATATGTTATTATCCACACCTCTGGAAAAATGCAAAATAAACTAGTATCCATGGTCAGAACAGGAATGGACCTGAATAGCTGAGGTGAGAAATGAGAGGAAAACTAAATTTACATCATGTATTCTTCTGTGCCTTTAACATTTTGTATGCATTAGTTACTTATTCAAACATGAATAAATACAATGACTAAAATTAAAAATGAAATAATAACACATGGGTGGGAAGTTCCCATGACAGAATGAAAGTGTTTAATACTACTAGAAATAGCATAAGTTATGTCAACAGAAAAGTCTGCTCATTAGAACAGGGAAGTAGAGAGCACAAGACATGCGTCCTTATTTTGTTTTTATTATGGCCTTTTAATATGGATTTAAAAGTCTATTATCTAATATATATTCAGATACAAAATCCCCTGGGCTGTCGACTGAAATGGTCTTAAAATTCTGCCCTAGATTTTTTTTTTTTTTTTTTTTTTTTTTTC